TACTTGTATCCTTTTACTTTGCTCCTTGTCAAATAAAATACACTTCTCAGTCCTGCCCTAGCTTTTTATATTTTTGTCTCTTTTGGAAGCCTACTGTGTGTCTCTAATCATCTCCATGCCTTTTGCTGCATTATTTCTAATTTGGCTCTGTTCTTTGTGACCAAAAACTTTTGTGCACTACACATTTATATAATGGAAGCATTACTTTTCTTTTCCAAGCCATTTTCAACTTTGAATTTGTATTTTAAAAAGTACAATGGGCTGCTATTTAATGCTCCTGATTTAACTTCTGTAGTAGATGGTGAAAACTGAAAGCAGCTCAGCCACTAGGGAGGCACAGATGAAAGTGGCAGGGACACGGTTCATGGGAATAAAATTTTTAATGCAGTTTTTTCTCTTATTTTTAAAGCATGCACCTGTTGTTGCTGCTTTCAATTATGCAGCAGCAGTGACAATGTTCTGTTCACACTTGAATTCCTATTTAAAAACAGGTCTGCTAAACAGCTCCTGTCTTCACTATTTTTATATAATCTAGTATATGAAAAGGGGCCAGCTGCTACTGAAGTGTTGTTGGCAGAGATAAGGGCAAAGGAGATTGAGCTGGTGAGAATAAAAGAACGTGTTGCAGATAAAGAAAAGGAAAAAATTATACTTTTTATAATGTTTGTTTTGAATTTTTTAAAATAATAAAAAAAGGAACAGAAAAATACCATCAAACAACCCTTACATGTTTTAGTTGGTACGTAGTCCTAAAACCAGAGTTGCAACAGAGATGGGGAAGGAAAATATAAAACTGGATTTTCTTATCTTTTTTCTTATGTGTATTTTATTTTTGGGGCCTAAGCTTGCTCCCATTTAAGTCAACAGGAGTTTTGCCATTGATTTCAATTGGACCTTCAGAGGTTCCAATACATCAGTGGTTTGCAAACTTTTTGAGCTGAGGCCCCCCCGTCTCCCATTTTGTGTTTTTGGTTGTACACCCCTAGCCCAGACAAAAGTAGACACATGCAAAAGGATGCTTGATAGTCTACTTATAAACCTAACAGAGACCTTCACACAACTTTAATTAAATTACCTATACCTGTAAGTGTCAAATACATAGATACTTACCAATGGCACAGCCAAGGATTCCTCAGCAGTGGGCTGCTTCTGCCTTGCAGTGATACTGCATGACAAGAGCAGGGCCAATACCTGCTCCTCCCCTCTCTGGTTTTCAGGGTGGGGGAAGATGCACGTGATGGTATCTGGGGGCAGAGCCAGTGCTGGACACGGAGGTTGTCAGGAATGGAAATCGGCATGGCCACGGTGGATGTTGATACTGACCCACAGGCTGAGTGGCCTGCTGAGGTGAGTTGGGGTGGAGGTGGGGCTCCCTGCCCACACTCCCAGTGAGGGCTGGCACAAGCCGCCTGGTGTTACTGCTGGCCTCCCTGAACATTCCTCCATGCCCCCCTATTGGGGTGTGCCGCACCGTTTGAAAACCTCTGATACATGGTATGTAAACGAAGAATTGTAGCTATAAGGTATTGCTACATTTTCAACACAGAAAGGGCTTCAGGAAAAAGTCATTTATAAACCAACCAGAAAATATGCCAGAGCATGCCTAAAATTGTATAAAATATATTAAAATCAAAATTATGTAAAATAAAAATATCATGACATTGCATATTACATTGTATGTGGATATGTTAATAAATATATTTATATGAGCTGGATGAAACTTTATTATAGGTTTGAGTTTAAACCTCTTTGAGAGTGAGTGTGAATGTACCCTTTAATTAAAATAACTGTCACGATGTGTTGTGAACTCCCCCAAGAGTTTGAAGAGGGAGAGGCAAAAGAGCAAGATAGCCAAGCAGTAGCCAGAGAGCACAGGGAGACCCTGGAAAAACCTAGAGTGAGAGCAATTGGGTCTGTTGACTAAAGAGGGTTGGGCTGTAAGCTAAGAAACTACTCCTCTTGTTTTGGTTCTTCCTGTGTTCAGAGAAGTATTCCTGTGTTCAGAGAAGTTCAGGACTTTGTATGTTCCTTATATATAAACAACATTGCATCAAAGAAAATACCAGACTCCATCAATTTCTGCTTCTAATGGAACATTCTCAGGTCCCTGAACTTTGACTAGCTGCTCTGGCTGCAAAGGGGCTATGCTATGTTTAAACAATATAACATAAAAAGCAATTCTGACTGCTTCCCTCAAAGAGCTGGCTAAACAGTCTTGTTCACTGGTCATATACCAGGAACTTCTCCATATGAAAAAGTAGTTGCTGATCACTCATCTGGTCAGGCTTTCTCCCCTTCATACTTAATATTAACATCTCAACACCAAAGAGTAATAACTAGAAATTGGCCTGATTTAAGAAGCTCAGATTCATGTCAGAATTTACTGAATGATTGGGAAGGTTTGGATTTGCTGTTTTGGTTTGGGCCCATGTTGTCTCTACTAACAACCCATGCAGGCTATCTGCAGAATCCTGGCAGCTCTCTTTGCTTGAATAATTCTACATATTTCCCCTCTAACAATGTCTCTCCACACACCGCCCTCCCCCGCCTGTAGTTGACAATATATGAGGAGGTGGGGGTATGGGAAGGGTGTGTGTCTCCAGAAGTTTTCTACCAAATAGCCCTATCTATACTAGGGAAATTTTGCCCTTTGGTGTTAGCAGCATTGGGAACCCTAGTGCAGATGGGTTGTTGGCTATGATTAGTTCTGCTCCGAGCTGGGTTAGATGACTGTCTAATTCGTGGTTGCCAAATTGGCCGTTGACAACCCTGCTGATCAGAAAGCAGAAGCTGCTTTTTTCCTACACTGGCTCAGGGATATATCATGGCCACAGTGCTTAAAATGCTGTCAGCAGTTGGTGACCCATCTAAAATAAAACTACCACTGTTAATATGGTGGAGCAAAACTGCTGTTAACAATAGTAAAAATTGTTTGTGAAATTTCCCTAGTGTAGACAGGATAGGATTTAACTTTTGAAAATAAGGCAAAGTTACTATAAAATGCCACTCAGGAAGGTGAATCATATTTTCCGGTGTCAGTATATCCTCATGGATAACAGGCTTGCTAGATCCTCAAATCTAGAAAGGAGAATCACTTCCCAGTTGCTTTTTTGACCATGTGAACATTCATTATTCTATACCAAGTCATACTTTTGGTAATTACTTACAGCAAAGAACTGTTCATGTAGATATGCAGCCTTTGAAGAGTAAAATTTGGACTTGATCAGATTGTGATAATGCTTGCTGTCTCTATTCTAGTTATGTCCTGAGCCCAGGGGGGGAAAAAAAGGGGGATTTCAGTCCCATATTGTATTTTTACCTAAAAGACCTAGAAGCATCAAGGAGTAGGGTGACCAGATGTCCTCATTTTACAGGGACAGTCCAGATTTTTGGGTCTTTTTCTTATATAGGCTCCTATTATCTCCACCCCTGTCTTGATTTTTCACATTTGCTGTCTGGTCACCCTATCAAGGAGGGTCATATTTTCTAAAGGAAGACACACTTTTTTTATGCACCCTGTCCTGTTTGTTTGGATTCCAGTATTGTCTTGAATAGTAACATCTCTGAATGAATATTCATGACAGAAAATGATTTCAGCTGGCTTTGGATAATGCAAATGTCATACCACTGAGGGATTAAATCAGTCTGCAATCTGACTGGCTGAAATCAACTTCATTGGGCATAATATTTTATTATAGAAATGCCACAAAATCTGTTCCAATCAAGGCTGTTCAACAGTGTCTATATATATGGGTGAGCCAGGAATAAGTAAAACACAGATCTGAAGTGCTCCGTGAAGCCATTACCCTATAGCAACATGGTTAAAAAGAGGCAGACAGTGATTTATTTGTAAAAAGAAAAGGAGTACTTGTGGCACCTTAGAGACTAACCAATTTATCTGAGCATAAGCTTTTGTGAGCTACAGCTCACTTCATCGGATGCATACTGTGGAAAGTGTAGAATCATATGATACACGTTGTAAGGAGAGTGATCACTTTAGATAAGCTATTACCAGCAGGAGAGCGGGGTGGCAGGAGGTATTTTTTCATGCTTTGTGTGTATATAAAAAGATCTTCTACACTTTCCACAGTATGCATCTGATGAAGTGAGCTGTAGCTCACGAAAGCTTATGCTCAAATAAATTGGTTAGTCTCTAAGGTGCCACAAGTACTCCTTTTCTTTTTGCGAATACAGACTAACATGACTGTTATTCTGAAACCTGATTTATTTGTGAAATTCCTGAGTGGAGGAGAAGTCTTGAAGCTGTAGTCTGAGGTAAATCTGTCATAATACAATGATACATATGATAATTTTGACCACAAAAAATATGATAGTGAGCAAATGGGGGGAGAAGCAGAAAGGAAAAAGTACATTCCCCAACATGAAAAGTCAGTGATTAGAGCTAGGAAACAGAATGTTTGTTTGTTTTTTAAGGGACATTTTCCTGGTTCACCTCTTTACAAAATAAATTAATAAATAAAAGTATCAGTTTCTTAATACATTTTGCAACATAATACATTTCTTGTGAAATAAATTGGACTCTGTATACTTGAACTTTTAATTTGGCAGTTGCAATAACTCATTTCCTATTTGTGCCCCCCCCATAGCCTTAATTTGGCCTATATATATATATATATACCTAATGTAGGCATGTGGCTTTGAAAATGTTGGCCTTTTGAATAGAGGCAAGAGAATAGTTTAATCACAACTGGCTCTGCATGCCGACTATTTAATTTTGGGCTGTCTTATAACCATCAGCCCTACTTCCTTTCAGACCCACACATATTAGGTGGGGAGAGTGGAACCCCTGGGTCTGCAATGAGTGGACAGAGACAAATACTTGGGTGGGAATCCATGGGCTTGCAGTGCCCGTGGTTCTGCTGCTAGAGCTCTTTTTGCTCTGTTATTAAGGAGTTTGCTGCTGCCCCTTGTGGCAGGTTGCTCAGCCCTAATGAAAACCCAGCTCCTCGGGAATGCTGGGAATGTTGAGTCAGGGACTAGCAAACCAAAGAGCCAGGCTCGCAGTTTACTGAGAGAGACTCGCTGAGGGACAGAAAGACGAGGGATAGAAATACACAAACCTTTCCTGACTGCAGCAGACTCCCTCTCTCCCTTGCCTCTTAAATGTTCGCCTGTTCCAGCTCTCCACGCTGCCTCTTTCCTCAGTGTAATCAGCTGTCAGCTAGACTTGATGTTGTAAAATCCATGTGAGGAGGAAAGACAGATGCAATGATTTGAAAGGTGAGAAGCTTAAGCAAGAATATGGCCATAATAGATGTGTGTATTAATTTTGATTAACAAAATTGTTATATATTGCTATCTAAAATTATGTAGTGGCTGAAAATTAAGAAAAAAATGGCAAAAAAGGTTTTTTTCCCCATCCCTTTAATATATTGCAATAAATGTGACCAAGTGCACATCTTATTCTAGTAGCAATGAGTGCCTCTCCCTACAGAATCATCTATATTACCTTTCTTGCAATTTCTCCTAAAATCAGCCATAAAATTGTCATTTTTGTGAACAGTTTACAAATATTATTATTACTGTATTAAAGTCTAGCATGGACTTGATGAGAATTTTAAATTCCTAGCTTTGTAGCTCATATAATTTGTAAAGCTTGGTGTTTTCTTTTTAAAGACAAACAGTGTCAGAGAAAAACCTGATTTATTTTTTCTTTTTGTGGCTGGGAAAGGGAAATCAGAGTCAGACTAACAGGATATTATTTTGCAGTTATATAATGAATGAATACTTAGTGGGGTTGCACGTTTACAATGCTGTGTGGGTTTAAGGATCATTTTAGGTGGCCCAAGATTATGATGCAGATGATAAAGCCCAGGAATAGATTTATCATACATACAAACAATTTTTTTTCTTAAAGAGCTGGAGTAATGCGAGGGGGAGAAGGGTGGTGTCTGCTTTATTAGTGTGTGATTGATTTCTAGGCGGCTACCTGCTAAGGCTTGTGATGGATGGAAGGGAATCTACTCCCTTAGCGGCGAACTGATATTTCCCTTTTGATGGACAATCCAACAGGCCACTTGCACTGGCAGAAACTGGCTCGTTGCAATGAGCACGGCCACTACGTGTAGCCAAGAGGAGGGCAAATCTCACTTGTCAGGGATAGTTTCCTGCTCTGGCTTTTTAAATCAAGGGTATCACTTAACCATTTGTTATTTTTCCAATCAGTTGCGGGCCCGGTCCCCGTCCCCCCCTCTCCCCGTTCAGTGCCCCTTTCCCACTGCTCCACCGAAAGGGGGAGGAAGCCTTCTGTAGCCTCCTTTTCCCCCCACAGGCGGGCAGCGTTCTCCCCCTAAGTGGCTTCTGCGGTGCTCCTTCATTTCCCTAGGGCGCGCGGGGTGTAGAAAGAGAGACTCAGCACCTGCCTCCGCCCCCTTTCCATGCCACCCCGCGGGAAGGGAGGACGTGCTACGCGCCAGCTCCCCCGCCCTGCCATCACAGGGACATAGACAACTCCTCTAATGCCTTCCTGAGCCACTCTCCGCCCCCCCCCCCGCCCGGGGCGATGAGGGAGAGACACCCACCGTAACCCTAGGCTCCCTTTCAACCCTCAGTGCACCGAGAGGCCCCCAGGCTCCCCTCGCGTGCCCGGGTGAAGCGCCCCACCAGCCCCCAGGACTCTTGCAGCTTCCACCACCCCCCTTGCATGGCACGTGTGTGAACGGACCCCAGAGGCCGGGGAGGTGCTTTTTCTCCCCCGAGCCTGCTCCAGGAGTGAGAAGTCTGCAGCTCCTCGCGTTGCACAGGAGGAGCGGGAAATTTCCTCCTGCTTCTATGGAGGCAAGAAGCTCCCACCGGCCTCCCCTCCCTCACCGCTCCAGGGGCGAGTGTCCCTCCGCCTCACAGCGCCGCCCGCTGGTTCCCGGATAGCTAGGGAGGAAATGGGCTCAGTTCGGCTCCCTTTCCTACCCGCTGGGGGAAGGAGGAGAGACACCGCCCCATGAACGGGAGAGGTGGCTTCCCATCTCCCTTAGCTGCCCCCGAGCAGGAGAGGAAAGAGTGCCCCCATCTCTTCCTCTGCTAAGGAGCGGGGTGGACGAAAGGCTCACCACTGCTCCCCTCACTGTCGTCTCCCTGGGAAGAGGAAAAGAGATTCCCCTCTTCAGTGGGGTGTGTTAGTGAGACACTTCTCTCCCCTAGTGCTTCTCGTTGCTCTGGCAGAGGGGAAAACTCCTTCCCAGGCTCCTCTCACTGCTGTGGTAGTAAGGGAAGGACTTGCCCCACCTCCCCTCACTGCCCCATGGATGAGTGAGGAAAAACATACGTTCTGGCATAGGTCCCCTGAAGTGCCTCCTGGGGGAGAGGAGAGACTTCCCCTTCCCTTACTTCCCTGGAGGGGAGAGGAGACTCTCTGGAGGTCCTCTTATTGCCTTATGTGGTAGCAGTGAGGCAGACAGTCTCCCAGATCCTTTCACTGTTTTACGGTCTGGGGGTGGGAAGAGACTCACTCTAGCTCCACTGGCTGCCCAGTTGGTGCTGGAAGCAAGTCCGTGCTGCTAGGCTGTTGATGTGGAGGCCCAATTCCCTGATTCCCCTATGCTGGTATAGGAAATTGACTCTCTCTAGGTCTTCTCACTGCCCTATGGAAGTAGAAGGGTTTAGAGGGACACCTCCAACATTTGTGTGTTTGGAGACCTTCTCTCAGTAGTTCTTCAACTGCCCTATGTGGGAGAAAAGGCTTTGCCCACCTAAACTATTCTACTGTTCCCATAACATAAGAATGGCCACACGGGGTAAGATCAATGATCCATCTAGCCCAGTATCTTGTCTTCTGACAGTGGCCAGTGCCAGATGTTTCAGAGGGAATTAACAGAACAGGACAATTATTGAATCATCCATTCCCTGTTGTCCAATCCCAGTTTCTGGCAATCAGTGGTTTGTTGACACCCAGGGCACAGGTTGCCCTGACCATCTTGGCTAATAGCCATTGATGGACTTATCCTCTATGAATTTATCTAATTCTTTTTTGAACCCAGTTATACTTTTGGCCTTCACAACATCCCTTGGCAACGAGTTCCAAAAGTTGACTGTGTGTTGTGTGAAGTACTTCCTTATTTTGTTTTAAACCTGCTGCCTATTAGTTTCACTGGGTTACAATGACCCCCTGGTTCTTGTGTTATGTGAAGAGGTAAATAATAATTCCTTATTCACTTTCTCCATACTGTTCATGATTTTATAGATGTCTATCCTATCCCTCCTTATTCGTCTCTGTTCTAAGATGAGCAGTCCCAGTCTTTTTAATCTCTCCTCACACGGAAACTGTTCCATGCCACTAATAACTTTTTGCCCTTCTCTGTACCTTTTCTAATTCTAATACCGTTTTTGAGATGGGATGACCAGAACTGCATGCATTATGCATTTTACTGGCTTATTATCTGTCCCTTTTCCTAATGGTTGGCTTTTTTGACTGCTGCTGCACGTTGAGCAGACAAGTTCAGAGAACTATCCACAATGACTCTAACATCTCTTTCTTGAGCAAATTTAGACCCCACCATTTTGTATATATAGTTGGAATTATGTTTTCCAGTGTGCATTACTTTGCACTTAGCAACATTGAATTTCATCTGCTGTTTTGTTACCCAATTACCCAGTTTAGTGAGATCCTCTTGTAACTCTTCACAGCCAGCTTTGGACTTCACTATCTTGAGTTATTTTGTACAGTTGACCCTTTTCTTGATCATTTATGAATATGGCCTGTGATTGGGATGGGATCTGAGTTACTACAGAAAATTCTTTCCTGGGTATCTGGCTGGTGAATCTTGCCCATATGCTCAGGGTTTAGCTGATCGCCATATCTGGGGTTGGGAAGGAATTTTCCTCCAGGGCAGATTAGAAGAGGCTCCGGAGGTTTTTCGCCTTCCTCTGTAGCATGGGGCACGGGTCACTTGCTGGAGGATTCTCTGCTCCTTGAAGACTTTAAGCCACGATTTGAGGACTTCAATAGCTCAGACATAGGTGAGAGGTTTTTCGTAGGAGTGGGTGGGTGAGATTCTGTGGCCTGCGTTGTGTAGGAGGTCGGACTAGATGATCATAATGGTCCCTTCTGACCTTAATATCTATGAATCTATGTTGAACAGCACAGATCCCAGTACAGATCTTTGGGGGACCATGCTATTTACTGTCTCCATTCTGAAAACTGACCATTTATTCCTACCCTTCATTTCCTGTCTTTTAACCAGTCACTAATCCACAAGAGGATCTTCCCTCTTATCCCATGATTGCTTGGTTTGCTTAAAAGCCTTTGGTGAGGGACCTTGTCAAAGGCTTTCTGAAAGACCAAGTAAACCATATTGATTGGATTACCATTGTCCACATGCTTGTTGACTCCCTCCAAGAATTCTAATAGATTTAAAAGCAGTGTTGACTCTTCCCCCAACATATTGTGTTTATATATATATATGATAATTCTGTTCATTACTATAGGTTCAACCAACTTGCCTGATACTGATGTTAGGCTGTAATTGTCAGGATCACTTCTGGAGCCTTTTAAAAATATCAGCATTACATTAGTTATCCTCCAGTCATCTGGTACAGAGGCTGATTTAACTGATAGGTTACATACCACAACTAGTAGTTCTGCAATTTCATATTTGAGTTCCTACAGAATTCTTGGGTGAATACCATCTGGTCCTGGTGACTTATTACTGTTTAATTTATCAATTTGTTCCACAACCTCATCTATGGACACCTCAATCTGGGACAGTTCCTCAGATTTGTCACCTAAAAAGAATGGTTTAGATGTGAGAATTTCCCTCACATTCTCTGCAGTGAAGACCAATGCAAAGAATTTGTTTAACTTCTCTGCAATGGTTCTGTCTTCTTTGAGTGCTCGTTTAGCACCTTGATCATCCAGTTGCTCCACTGATTGTTTGTTTGGCAGGCTTTCTGCTTTTGATGTACTTCACTTTTTCTTTTTTGCCGTTGATTTTTTTGTCTTTTGCTAGTTGTTCTTCAAATTATTTTTTGGCCTGCCTAATTATATTTTTACATTTTACTTGCCAGAATTTACTCCTGTCTGTCTTCTTCGGTAGGATTGGACTTCCAATTTTTAAAGGATGCTTTTTTGCTTCTGACCACTCTGTGGTTTAGTCATGCTGACATTTTTTAGTCCCCTTACTGTTTTGGTTTTTTTTGGGTGAGGAGTATACATATTTAGTTTGAACCTCTATTTATGTTTTCAAATACAGTAAAAGCTGCCAAGAGCAACCACTCATGGGAGTTAG